TTTTTTTTTTTTTTTTTTTTTTCACAGAATTTAAGACTGAATATACTGTGGATCTTAATTTTGTGAGAGCAGGTGGTGAGGGGGAACTACTAAGATGTTTCACCCTATTAATTGGACTGTGCTTCGGTCCAGGTTACTTCAACTGGAAAATGTTACTTATCTCCACAATTGTGTATGAAGAATTGATGTAAATCATGGGAAAATATTTGAAAAATGAAATTGAATCAAACTGGCAATCTAGACATCAAATACTACTTGGTTATTGTTAACTTTATTCCTGACCTGACAGATTAACCAGTTAGTAATTGTGAGACAGTATTGGTAGAAAACCTGTGAAGTTTTTAATAATTTTACTGACAGAAAACCATTCATCCATAATCTTGCTCGACAGAATACAAGTCCTGAGCAAATATAAGCCTTAAAATATTTGTGGTCAGTCAAGGGTAGTGTAATGGGATTGGTTTAGGTAATAGTTAATTAGCATAAAGAGAGCTATAACTATCGCTCACAAGCAACTTTGAGTCATTGTACATAGAACATATACAGCTACTATGTTTGATCATCATAACAAAATGGCATTACCTGACAGATCTGTTGAACATAGAACCTGAAAACACAAAGATTTGGATAAAATGCTTTGAGGCATGTGCCAGAATAAAGAGTTACGAGATGACCAAACACCTGAAAGACAGAAAGAAATCATAGATCTATTTCTGGCCACTGTGGTATGCAAAACCATTAGGCAGATTTTGTTAATGACTTACCTGGCTGAAATTGAAAACTTGACAGTTAATGAATTCAAAGAAATAATATTGAGAAATATTCAACCAAAGAAAAGAAAAGTCAGAGCTGAACAAACCAAATTCTTAGCATTGAGACAAGAATTTGGGGAGCCTATAAGGAAATATCTAAGAATATTTAGAGATACCATGATCTAAAGTTCATATGGATCACACACAAGTTAACGGGAGGGGGGGATTTATGTCTAATACTGGTTGATGCTTTTTCCAACCACCTAGCCTGAAGTTTTTTAAGTTCAGGATAAAAAATCTATTACTGTAAAAGAAATATTACATATAATATTTGCTAGAAATGGAGTACCAAAAACATTAGTAACTGATAATGCTCCAAAATTCTGTGATGAAAGTCTGTTTGTGGTTAAGGAAGATTGGTTGTGTCCCATATAAAACACCTCCTTACCACCCTCAATCAAATGAGATTGCTGAATGAATGGTCCAGTCAATAAAGATGAGACTGAAAGCATTTTCTTCTCAGCAAGAAAAGATTGGAACTTTCCCACCAAGATTATTGAGTTACAGAATGATACCACATGCTGACAGATTAGAGAGCCTGTCTGCATTAATGGGCAGACAGATTAGAGCTCCATTAACCATGCTTTACTCTATTAATGAAAGCATATGGTACAAAAGAGATAAAGAAAATAAGTCGAAAAGGTGAATTTCATAATGCAAAAAGGATACAACATGGCATTAATATGCAAGAATGGTAAAAATATTGTTGCCCATGCAGACCAGTTAAGAGCTACCCAAAATTATGAGGAGGTACAAAGCAAAGCTAGTTTGAATGACTATGTAGATGAACAAGAAAGCAGGGCAGAGGAATCTATGGACAATCAAAGTTCTTTGGAAGACTCAGAGTATGAGACATGGGACACAGAATAAAAGAACTAGATCAAGGTCCATCATAAAGAGAAATACTCATGAAACCAGTGAGAGTGGGGAGGGAATGTAGGAGAAGCTGTAGATCCACATAGGGCAGGAAACCCAAGATTCAGGGAGATGTAATGGGATTGGTTTAATTAATAGGTAATTAGCATAAATTGAGCTATAACTATAGCTCACGGGCAATGTTGAGTCAGTGTACCTAGAATATCTATGGCTACTAAAAGCGCTCTATATAAACTATTAACAAGTATACAGACTATATACCATGTGCAGACTATTCACTTAAACTTGGTGAAGAAAAGTCAGTGTCTACTGTACCTGAAATTGTTGACTATTTGCAACAGCTGTCCGTTTTCCTTTTGGACCTTTACTAAGATCAGGGATTTTAAACACACTGGCCATTGAAGATTTTTTAAAGAGCTGAAGTCTGCAGATTATGAAGCAGTTTGAGTCATTAAAAATGGATATGCAGATATTTACAAACTCTCAAATATATTTTTGAAGAATTAGAAGAGAAGCTGAATGTAAATGAGACTCAAAGAATCAATGCCACAAATTTGAACATTTGCTATTTTAATCTCTTCCTGAATTACTGGGATGAAGAGTTATTATTTTCACCATTTACATTCAAACTAATGACCTTGTCTTTGTTGACATCCTTTGATCTTCAGGTTGTTATCAATTCAGGTAGCCTTCAAGATATTTCAAATTGAACCCTTTATTTAATCTACATGGTAGAGGGTTAGTACAGGGCTGGGTAGTACAGATTTAGACTCAGTGGAAACAGGGTGAACAATAATTGAGCAGTATTAAATATAAACAAGATGAGATATCCCTTGAGATGGTAAGTGGAACAAGAAAAATCTACACCCATCATTCATAGATTAAAAAAAGGGTTCAGTTTGAAATTCTATAAATGTTACCTGGATTGAAAAACAGCTGAAGAAGGCTGGAGTGAACAATAAATGAAACATAACAGCTAAGATGAGGATATTAGTCTGCATGTAAATAATATAAATATTTTAAGTTATTTTGGAAGGTGTACTAAAGTATTTCACCATGCTAAGAACATTCAAATTCATGATTATTATCTTTTAGTTTGTTAAAAAAACTCTGAAAAATTTATATGACAGGATTGCACACTATGAATTGGAATCAAAATCTTTGTGTGTAGAGATGACCTCAAGTTATTCTGATGCTTCAAAACCTTTGTTACAAAGAAACTTTCAGATAGAACAAATGGTAGCACTTCTTTGAGAGTTGGAAAACTTAGGATAGAAGTCCTAAATCAGTTGTAAGTGCTTAATAATCCATTTACACAAAAAGATTGAGACTTAGATGAACAGATTACAAAAAGATTCAAGTTCCTTTCAAAACTGAACAATTCTGAAATTGTTGAGGAGAGTATTAAACTTGTAATATATTACAAAGATGATATTGACCACTGTTTAATAAATGAATGTTATTGATTCAAAGAAATTAAGAAATCTCAGAACAGTAAAAAATATGTAATCTGAAATGCCCTGAAGCTGAATATGATATATAAATTCTGTTTATTAGACTAATGATGGGTAATTGAATGACAAAATGGAAAAATTCTTATGTAACATGTTTGTTCTTCAAAAGAACTTCTGGTTAAATAATGTTTTTATTGATGGAATGATAAGTTTATATTTTACGTTCATCCCTCTATAGATATGTTTCTGTCAATAAAAACATTTAGTCTGAAAAAGTCTTTTGAAGGGCAAAATGCATTACATAAGATTATATTAACTGTGGTCTTTGCTATATTTTATCATTTTATGATGCATCATGTGTACATCTGATGTTTCCCTAATTTTCATCTCCCACTTCATAGCTCAAAATTTATAAGGCATAAACTTGGAAATTCTTATCAGTGACTTTGACATATAAGCAATTAACCCCATTGATAAGGATGACAGTGATCATCCAGAACTCATTTCTGGCGGGAAGAGGTTCACCATATTCAAGGATTCCATCTCACTACCCCATTCTCTGCCATTTGAGCATTGAGGTCTTTTCAAGAATAGCAATGCCCTTTAGACTTTGTTGAATGTTACCTTATTGTTTCTGATTATGAAGGGACCCCTGTAACAGTTCAAGCTTCAGGGTAAAAAAACATCTTGATCTACCACTGGGCTTTGATACCTGTTAGTTTTATTTTATTGGAGGTTGAATTACATAGATAGAGCACAGAGAAGTCTTTAGTTGACTGATAAATAATTCAGTTTAGCATTTCAACCTCTAGCCCCCACTAGCATGTTCTAGTGAGAGACTGGTGCCAACGACCCCCAACACATTCTGGTGGTATATTTGCTTTGGATCAAATTTGATTTTTTTTTAGTTTCTTAGGATTCAAAAATCGTTATAAAATTTCTCAATTATGAAAATTACAAACTGTTTACTCTTTTGTTAATTATTTTGCAAAGAAAGAAATTGACAAAAATTGTTTATTGGTGCTTCTATCAAGGATTTCAAAGCAAATCAAAAAAGCAATTTTAAGTCAGCCATTTTTATTATCTTTGATCTTTCAATAGATCTGTATTAAATATTTAATAAGTTTGATTTTTTTTTTCACATTCTTAAGTGTTACCAAAACTTATTTCATTTGTGAAATAGGTTGATTTTTTTCCCTTGCTTAATTTGCTAATGACTTGATGCTTTGAAGAAAATCTTATTCATTTCTTCTTCAGTTAAGTGCCCAAAGATTTTTTTTTATAAAGATAAATGCTTTGAATATATCAAGACTAATTACAATTTATTTTACTAATCAGAATTTGAGTTGTGCATTCTTTTTTTCTGAAAGAAGGAACCTCTCTTCTTTTTCAAGTCTAATGCTAGTCTATCATTTCTGCTTTCAAAGAAAACCTTAGCCTATTTATAAGAGGGGAAAAAGTGAGAAAAAAATCAAAAGATAATATACTAAAGTTATCTTTTTACTCTAATAAACAACTTCAAACACTGATTTCAGAGGGATATTAATATTTGAACCTTTTCTTTCCCTATGTGAAATTTGAACCAAGTAAAAATAACAAAATGAATAAATCTGTTCAAAATGCCACCATGAACGTCTCCAAGATGTTTAAGACAACTTTTTAACTTTTTACTTCTTGTGGGAGGTAAACTTTTAACTTTTAGGAAATTAAATGAATTTTTTTTTTTTTTTTTTTTTTTTTTTTTTTTGAATCAGATTGAGTCAGACCTTGAAATAACAGAATCTGTTTATCTATAAAAATTTCAGAAATACATTCAAGGAGCACTTTTACTTAGGGACACAGGATTATGGCAAAGCAGATGACCCATATACCCAGGCTCTGGTAAGATAAGGTGATAACATATATACTTGGGTGGGGGACAGAGAAGCAAGTCTGATTTTTCTTTTTTGTATTAGCAGTTCAAGTGTTGAGTGTTTCAGGATAACTAAATCACTTCTTGTTTTGCTGATGACTTTTCTTCCTAGTACACAAGTGTGAATCCCTCTCCCATTCCCTGTATATTCCTATAGTAAAAAGTTCCATTTGGATAGCTTTTTTTCTGCTTTTCACAATCACTAAAATCTTGACCTCTAGAGTTAAACATATTTCACTTCCCCTTTCTTATGCTCATACAACACCACATAGTAACCCTCTATCTTGAGTGGTTCTTGGGCCTTGTATTATGTAAACATTAGTATAAAAACACACTGATAAAAACAAACATGTATTCACTTGTCTTTTTTAAGTTTTCCTTTCATATCTTTTAATTCTTAAGGAATTTCAAACAAATTATTTCTTTTAGGAAATAGGAAAAAGGTTATATGTTGCTTTTTGTCCCAATTTGAATCCCTAATAATTTCTGAACTTTAATTTACCAATTTTGTGTTATGGTGCTACTCTACTTCTCTACTGAGCCATGGTCTTTCCACATTATCTAACCCAGCAATTGAATTCACAATGTTCAAGGCCTAAGATAAACTTAGCAGCAGGTTGGTCAGGTAGAGCAGGTGTCTTATTTATTTTAATGGGGATTCATTCTCTACACAAACATTCTTGTATAATACACTTCTTTAGAATGGACAGACAGTTGAATTATATAATTTATCTAAAAGTCTACATTTCAATTCTTTATTGATACTGAATGGCTTTTGGCATTTGCTATTTTCTAAAAAGGAGATAAATTATCAGCAGATGAATGCATTTTCTGACAGAATCAGGTTAGAATGTTTATAGGCCATCCAATTTGGCTCACATATCTATTAAGTTTACAATAGAATCTTTGCTTGAGTTTTTTGCAATCATCATAGCAGAGAGGCTTTCAAACTATATTTTATAATAGTGGATATATTTTATGAAGGGGAATTCAATAAATATTTCCTTAAATAATTTTATAAAGAAAAAGTAAAATTAATTTGTGACTATTTCACTCAGAGTAGTTGTGTTAAAAAATGTACTTAATTTTAATTATATCTTTTTGTCATGTTAAAATCACTTATTGGTTGAAAATGACCAGTTTTTTATTTTGCTTTTATAAAAATCTTTTTCTTATCCTTTGTCTGAATTAAAACCAAGAAATGATTGTGAAGTCATCCAGGGATCTTGAAATGATACTATATAGAAATTAATTGCTTTATGTTGAATGTATACAAGTGATTTAGTACATCTGAAGCTTTATTTTCAAAATGTAATTTGAGATGTTTTATTTAAAAATACCAATAAGCATGAACTGTGTAAAATCTAATAAACATTTTCAAATTTGATAATGCTAGTCATGGATATTTGTTTTGTTAGTCATTTTGAATTGAACTTATTTTTTCTAAAATAGTTACTTGGCCTCTGCTTTATGATATTCAGTGTGTCACTTTCAAATGAATAAAAGATAGAAATTGATACAAAAATAAATATTTTTATAGAGCAAAATTTGCTCTCAAGAAGAATTTATATATTAGGCTGAAAAATAAAATATTTATTTTAAGGACAAAATTTTTATCCAAATTAATAAGGATTTATTTATTTTGTCCATAATAAATTCTGACTGTTATCGATCTAAGATGAATGCTATAGAAAAAGAAGTCAACAAAAATTGTCATAAGAATAACAGGAGAAAAAACATCCTTTGTCCTTGGAAAATTTGATAAATAATTTCCAAGAAATTAATTATATAAAGTCAATTTAGAAATTATTCAGATATTTTGAATCTCAATTTGTTGTATAGTTTTGATGTAATTTGGTAATAAGTCAGAAGGGAGCTTACTGTACATACATATGCTCTCCTCTAGGGTTTTTCAGTCAGTAGTGAGACACCATTGAGTGAACTTGTGTACTGTATTATTGTTTAATTTAAAATAACTGATTAAATCAGCAAATAATTCTCAAGCTTGACTGGAAACTATTTGAATGATTGAGAAAACCTTTTCAGTATAATTCAATTCAAGAAAAGTTTGGTACCAAAACTTCAAACTTGGCTGGGAATTTCTTGAAAGCAGAACACTTGAAAAATATTGAACATCTGTGAGTGCAATGAAATAAAATTTGATAATGTGAGAATTAGACAAAGATCTGGGGATTCCATGGATTGGTCAGAAAGGATCCAGCCATAATAGCTCAACTGCTCATTCTTAACGTCTCTTGTAATTATTTCTTTTGTAGAAGATCACATTAGCCAGCTATGTTAGTTCCTACCTACAGTCCAGATTTAGTTTTATATGATTTCTGGTTTTTTTGAAATCTAAATCTAAGTCACTGGTAGGACAGATGAGATTAGAATGAATGCAATGAAGCAGCTTATGGTAATCTCACAAGAGTACTTTGCAGATTGCTTTGAAAACTGGGAGTGATTCTGGAATAATTGCTGTTCCAATAGGAGTATTCTGAAGAGGACTTGATATACCATTGTTCTCAATAGACTGCTTTTGTTATTAAATAGCTGGATCATTTCTGAACAGACCTAAGTTTGCCTTGCTTTTTTGACTGTCCACTTATGCTAAAGGTTCAGACTCAGGGTGATATTTATTGACACAGAAAACTAAATTGTCAAGCCTAGATAAAGTTTCATCTGGGACTACTTAAACTTTAAACTAATCTTGGCAAAGACATGGTCTACCTCCTCCTGTGTTCTCTCTTCTAATAGCATATCAATCAAAACATCTCTTCACTGCTAAGATTATGTGAGTGGATAATTGGGTAAACCCTTCTCCCATAACTATCTTACTTGCACAGGCTGTAGTAGCAAAAAGCTGTTAGCTCCATTGTCAACCTTGACAGGGACTAAGTAGGGGATTTATTCCAATACTGTAATATTAACTTTCTATAAATTTTTATCATTTGATGAAAGCCAAACAAATTACATGACTGCTATTAGTGGAGGAATTAATCTGATTTGATTTTGTCAAGGTTGTTAATGGCAGTAACAGAGTTTTGTCAGTGCAGGCAAAAGAAGTGCAAGAAAGCAATCAAATATTCCTTAAAAGATTAAAATCTTTGGTCATTGTTTAAATATTCAAAAAAATATTTGCAATTTGGTTATTTCTATTCAGTTTCATTCTTAATTCTTCACTGAGATGCTTTTCTTTTCTTTCTCTTTTTTGCTTTTTCTCTTTTTTGCTTCTTTCTCTTTTTTTTTTACTTTCTCTTTTTTTACTTCCTTTTTTTTTACTTTCTCTTTTTTTTACTTTCTCTTTTTTTTTTACTTTCTCTTTTTTTTTTCTCTTTTTACTTTCTCTTTTTTTTACTTTCTCTTTTTTTTACTTTCTCTTTTTTTTTTTTTTTTTCTTTTTTTCTTTTTTTTTTTACTTTCTCTTTTTTACTTTCTCTTTTTTACTTTTTTTTTTTTACTTTTTTTTACTTTCTCTTTTTTTTTACTTTCTCTTTTTTTTTACTTTCTCTTTTTTTTTACTTTCTCTTTTTTTATACTTTCTCTTTTTTTTTTACTTTCTCTTTTTTTTTTACTTTCTCTTTTTTTTTTACTTTCTCTTTTTTTTACTTTCTCTTTTTTTTTTTTTTATTTTCTCTTTTTTTTTACTTTCTCTTTTTTTTAACTTTCTTTTTTTTTTTACTTTCTCTTTTTTTACTTTTCTTTTTTTACTTTCTTTTTTTTTTTTTTTAGGATTATTTTTCTTTTTTTTTTTTTTTTTTTTTACTTTCTCTTTTTTTTACTTTCTCTTTTTTTTTACTTTCTTTTTTTTTTTACTTTCTCTTTTTTTACTTTCTCTTTTTTTTTACTTTCTCTTTTTTTTACTTTCTCTTTTTTTTTTTTTTCTTTTTTTCTTTTTCTTTTTTTTTCTTTTTTTTTTTTTTTTTTTTTTTATTTTTTTTTTTTTTGCTTTCTCTTTTTTTACTTTTGCACTCTTTCTTCTTTTATCTTTCTCTTATATGGCACAAACTTTGACTCTAGTTTTGAACACTTGTCAAATAGTATCCTATTAATGTAAAGCTTGGCATGAAATTCATGTAACTTTCTATGTATAAACTTTTAAAAATAGTAGTTTATATTTATGGCATATTTTTCTACTAAAGTTTCTAAGTGTCCACTTGTAAAGTGGCTGAGTGTAGATGAAGCCAAGAATCTGACCTGATAGCCATGCCAACATTTGATCCTATATGTTGCAATATCATGGGAAATGAAAAGCACTAGAGTGACTCACTCTACAAAAGGTCTAACTGTTAAAGTCTTGTCATTTACATTGCTAAAATTGTTTCTGCCCTAATCTATGCCTGAATTTTAGCTTCACAAAATTATTTAAAAACTTGTTAATCAATCTTGTGTATGGATGAAAATTTAAAGTCAATAAATTGATAAGAAGCAGTCAGATGGGATTAGTTAGACTTTTTAAATGATTTCTCATCTATTACATTCAAATAGTCTATTTTTTAATATTTTAATCTTAAACAATATTCTCATTTCCAAATCTTTTGTAATCAATTCAAAACTTCAGTTAAAACTTCATGACTGTTAAAGGAAAGATTGTTTTATTTTTCTTTTTCTTTAATCAGTGAAACTATTTTTTTTACCCCACACAATGTCATGGACTGGGCAACCTATTTTCTTTTTAAAATGGCTGTCAAAACCTTTGTTTTTTACCCACATCCTGAAAGTCTTAGGAGTTATTGTTTTTGAAAGAATTTCTCATCATATTAAAATATCAACATTTAATTTCACCTGAAAACGCAAAATGCCAGCAATTCTCTTACTATAATCATGAACGGTAATCATGCTTAGATTCCATAGAAACAAATTTATTGCCTCTTTTTAGAGGCAATAATTCAGAACTAAAATTTTTTTCCTTTGGTTTTCTGAATAGAAAGATGTCTCAAAATATGTATCCAACTTCTATTTTATTTCAGTTATCCTTAGACTCTTAAATTGTCCCTTTTCTAGTTGTGTTCTTATGACTCAAATATTTAAATTTTAAGTTTTTATACAGAGCTTTTTTATCTCTTTTCTTCAAGAACTTTGTAGATACTTACAAAGTTTAGGTTTGTTTTGGTAGAAGATAAATTGGGATTAGGAAGATTGTGTTGTGCTAATGTTTCAAGAGAGGCCTGCAATGAAAAAAAAATCTTAGCTTTTACTGAAAGTGAAAAATATACAACTATTTTGACTGCAGTGCAAGTATTTTGTCCAGATTCCTCTCATGGAAATATAAGATTGTCTTGGCCGCCATTGGCTGATTTGATTTTTTTTCATCAAAACTTTTTGCCTCCTCACAGATTAAAAAAAAAAAATGACTCAATAGAAATTTTCTGAACAAAAAAATTTTTTCTACTATTCAATTTGCTATACTTTTCTGCTCAAATGTTTATCAAAATATTTGAATTAATCTATTCTAACTATTATCTTCATCCTTGTGGATTGATCATTTTTGTTTAGTTTCCAACCATACTTAGGTGAATTTCTTCAATGAACTTTAAACCAATTCTTACTAGACATCAGCTTCTCAAAAGAATTTTTTTAAATTCCAAAGAAATCTCTTAAGTTTTTTAATTATTTTTTAATTCTATTTCTCTCTGCAATCGTCTTTCAAAATCCTTCCACACATGTATATTTCTATGTGTGCCTATAAAATGGCAAGCAGCATGTAATTTTTTTTCTAATTCATTTGAAATTCTTACATTTTTATGAGTTAAAAATGGTAAATTTTTCAAATTTAAAATTGACCACATGGGGTCAGATTGCTTTAAACCATTTCTTAGATTCTGAATTTTAAAAGGGATCAAATAAATTCCAGGAATCTCTCAATAATAAAATACTTTTTTGCAACATTAAAATTATTTTTTGAACTTCAAATTTCCTCATTTCTTCCCTTTTGATTTCTTCTTTATTGTTTCATGAATAAAAATGCCAAACCAGTTTTTAATTAATTCTTGTTTCTTTTGTACAATCAGTTGAAAGGCTGAGAGAGGAGTTAAAAAACAAAATCTAGTTAAAATAATTTATAAAGTTAGTGTTAATGACTCCATTAGCGACAAACTTTTGTTCAGTCATATTTATAATGACAGCTGCTTTTTATTTTTTTTATACTAATGACCATCTTTAATTAGTAGTTGATAACAGTTTAGGTAAATTTAGTTGGGTTGGTTAATTTATTTTCTCTTTTCTCAGTCATCAAAATGTATTTTATTCAAGTTTCAATTATTTACTGGTAATTAATAGACTGTGATTTAATATACAAATGAAAATAGAAATGATATTTTTAAGTGGCCATTTGGAATAAAACCATAATGTAACAATTTAGAAATATAGAAATGGATTAGTTCATTCAAAGAAAAAAAAAGTGATTTTGAAAAGTTCATTTTCTGCTATGAAATAATAATCTTATATTTTAATTTTTTTTGTTTTTTAATAAATATCTTCACATAAATTTAGACATGAGGCAAAAAACGAATCCCAAAACATTTGTTTTGAAGCCATTGCTTTTTCATAGAAATACTGATGATATCAGTTATTTCTTAGGTAGCATTATTTAGAACTTATGGTCTTGGGAAAGGCATGAATCCAGTTCTCCTATGTCCATCAACAGATATCTGCAAAAAATATCTTATTGATATACTATGATGGTTGAAGATGAATAAAATAGGGGAAGTGAGAACTTAGATAAACCACTCTCCCTGAAATACCTTACCTTGCCAAGGTCAGTAATATTAATGATAAAAATCTGTTACATCCATTGCTAAAGTTGACAGTCAAGTTGTTAAATTCCTGGATCTTGTTAGGAAGATGTTAACGATCAAATTACAAGTAAAACCGATGTAAAAGTTTTGATAAGCTTCAAATTGTTTTTAATATTTTTTTTCTGTATAATTCAAGTCATCAAAATAATCTGAATGTCAAATGCTTTAAACTAATTTTCAGAAAAAAAAATGTTTTTCAGCTTTTTTAATTGTAGCATGTAATTCATGATCTGAATTGAATTTAATAACAATAAGGAACTCTTGTTCTAAGAGAAGTCTATCTATAAAGACCTTAATATAGCTCACCCCAGATGATACCAAAATAGACTTTGTACTGTCACATCAGACCACCAGAGAAGCCAGATGCATCAGTAGGTTGACCTGGAAAATGACCTCCTTGATACTAGATGCAAATTTATGCCTTTCCTGACATGTAAACTAGTGGTTTACCCAGCTGTGCTTAAGATGTATACACATGGAACATTTGCATTATAGGTAGATATATAAGCATTGCACCTGAGAGGGAAAAGAAAGTCTTTTACATCTTTGCAAGAAAAATAATCCATGTTTGAAGAAAACACTCATTGTCACATACTTGCATATATTAAAGTCAAAAGTTGACTCTTATAAATGTGCTTGTCCCACTCTTCATTAGCTCACACACCTTGCCAATACCTCATAAATAATGGACTATTTCACATTTTGATTGCATAGAAAGAGGAGGAAAGGACATTACTTGGTTTCAGTGAGAAAATGAAAGAAAGAAGAGAAGATAGAAGTGGAGAGAGAGAATCAGATTAAACTGATGAAAACAGATACTACACTTTGATCTGTGTGAAATGGACAAAATATGATGGCAACTGATAAAAGCGCCATTTTTATCACATCTCTAATGAACAGAAACTGAGTAAGTTAATTGCCAAAAATCCAGTTTCAATAGATTAAATAAAATAACATTGTAGGCTGAATTATTCTTAAATTATTAAGAGAAATTTTTGTAAGACAGGGATTTAGCTAGAAAGAAAGAAATAAGATAAGTGTTTAATGTCTCCTACCAATACCTCATAAATAATGGACTATTCTGTTTTGAGCTGGAAAGAGGGGAAAAGACACTACTTTATTTCAGTGAGAAAATGAAAGTAAGAAAAAAGAGCAAGACACAAGTGTTAAAACTATTTCACTGAAATAAAAAAAAGTTGTCAATTTCAAATCTTTTTATTTGTACCCACTTCTTAAAATAATGACCAGCACTCATATTTATGATTGTTATTGCAATATTTTGTTAAACCCAAATATATTAACGATGTGATAGGGGAATTTCTACAGATATTTTATTGTCATAGAACTTGTCATGAACTTATTCAATCATTAACTTAAGAGTTAAGAATTAAGATTCATCAGAAAATTTAAATAGGAAAACTGTGAAATTTTCACGGGTTTTTCTAGTAAACAACATTTTTATGTAGGAGAGATTTTTAGTCTTATGTTCTTATTAGTCAGTGTAACAATTTCCTTATTTGTCCCATTGTACCTGGCATGGTGGAACTAAGGAATGTAGTTTCTGAACAAAGAAGCTAAACAGTGATAGAGTAGAGAGAGGCATTTGATGTTTAATCTGTGAAGGTGTGGTCGTAGGGTGAAAAATAATTCATCACTCACAAAATCCATGGGGACACTTTTGAACTCTCTCAAGACTGGCAAGTAAGGACTGGGCAGCTCCAGCCCAAATATCACAGTAATACTTCATTTTTGGTATGATCTAACTCTTGTAAATCAGGAGTCAGGTACTTACTGGATCAGTACAATGAATCAAGTATTTTTTCATCATCTTTAACAATGGATTGTATATATGAGTTCCACTTGAAGTTTGTGGTGAGTTTGAGTCCCAATAGATGTTTAAGGCAAGTATCCTACTTGAGAGAACACTCATTGATCATGAAAGGTGAAATTTCAGGGTCTGCTCAGTGATGTTGAAATATTATTAGTTTGGTGTGCAGAAGAAATCCACTTACTTTCAAAAAGGCTGAGGTCATGCACCTGCCAATGCTACTGGCTCCATGAAACAAAAGAAAACCAAGAAAGACTTATTCCATCATTTATAACAGAAAACAGATGATGGAATCGCCCAGATGTACTGCTTTACAGATTGGTATACCTGCCTTCGAATGCATATAAAGTAAATAGTAGTGAACAAGTAGGGCGGTAAATAAAGCTGATCACACAAAGAGTGGATTTGCATCTCTGTGATAGTTTGC